GGCCGGGGCTGGGCAGAGCCGGTGGGCGCTGCCGGGCACTCACCTGCCGGCGCGGGACTCACCTGCCCGTAGGCGAACACCGTGGCGTTGAAGCCCTCGAAGCAGCCCTCTACGAGCCGCTCCACGCACTGCGCGTACACCTGCTGCTGCTGCGCGGTGCTGTCGAACATGTAGTCGAAGGTGAAGGCTTTGTCCTTGCCCAGGAAGACCTGGGGCTCCCCCGGCGTGACCGAGGTGCACACGTGACACCCCTCAATCTTCTCTTTGGCAAGCTGGGGCCTGATTCTGCGGGAGCAGCGGTGGAAGGAAACAGATGGGGGCCACTGAGTGGGGCTGCGAGCCCCTCTGCGCGGAGGGCGACGCGCGGACCCCGCGCCCCGAGCTGCAGCAACGGCGCCCTAAATCCAAGGGTTTCTGTGGCCCAACTGCCCCCTGGGGCGGGCAAAACGCCTCAGCCGCTCTCGGCGCTCGCCTCCGGGGGCGGGGCCCGCGGGGTCAGGCGGGACACTGTCCCTGGCTTCGGGTGGCCCCAAGCTTGCGCGAGGGCAGCTGTCTGCCAGGTCGGCCAGGAGCAGGGGGGCGCGGCGTCCTGGGCACTGCCCCTCACCCCCGTGTGTCAACAGGAGGGCGGGGACCTCCCCGGTGCAGGCTCAGGCTCAGGCTGTCCTGCGACCCTGGCCAGGGAGGGCCCCAGCACAGCAGCCCCCCTGCCCCCCACTGCCCCTCAGCGCGGGGTCTCAGGGGACCTGCCTGCTCTGCTCCCCACTCTGTCTCTGTGGGCCCCTCACCCCCCGCACTCTGGCCTGCGCCCCGTTTCCAATATGCAGATAAATAAATCTTGCTTCTTCAGGACGTGGCCAGTAGCATTGGACCCTGCTCAGGGCTGGACACGGCCAGGAGGCCTGTTTGACCGCAGGCTGGAGTGAGTGTGGGGGAGGGGAGGCTGGGAGACGCCTTCCAGGGTGGGGCGGGGCGGACCCCTCCACCAGCCCTCCTGGAGGAGCGAGAAGGGGCTGACACCCCAGCAGGACCCCCGTGGATGGCACTTTGGAGGTTGGAGCCTCAGGGCCAGCAGCACCGTGGGAGCAGCGAGCCACATGCGCCCCACCACCTCGCTCCCCCCACCTCCC